TAAAGTTTAATTAAGTAACCATTTAATTATTTAGAAATTTCGAAATCCACATTAAAATCTTAAATTAAATATTGTCCAACATAACATTATTCTTGTTGCACTCAAAATAAGGTAGTAATGAATTATTACCATGCGGAATGACTATGTGTCTCTACCACGTCGGTTACGATTTGTCGTAGAAATGGTAATAAAAAGTTCAGGGAAATTCAAATTCATTACCAAATATTAAGGAAGTGAATACCATTATGTATTAAATTTGAATTTCCCTGAACTTATTATTACCGTTTCTACGACAAATCGTAACCGACGTGGTAGAGACACATAGTCATTCCGCATGGTAATAATTCATTACTACCTTATTTTGAGTGTGCGCAAACTCTCACAATATTTTGATTTATAAATATCAAAAAAGTGCTACCTTTATTTTTTCCTTGTACAACCAAAATTTGATTGAAAATCATTTGAAAAGCTGCTACGAATCTAAATTAAGTACTTAATTAGCTCCTTAATTATTCCCAATTTCCTTAACCTGGATTAAAATCTTACATAAATCCTGAACTTAATTTTTGCATTTTTACCCAACAAAACACTAACTTTATTGCATCATTACTTTTAAACTTTCACAATTTTTTCGCTGCACCCCCACCCAACCAAACATTTTTTAACCCTTTTCTTCCATTTCTCTAATGAAAAACCAACCTCTCTTTTCAAACTAAAGTGAAGAAGAAGTAGAAAAAAACTGGGAGAAAGTAACACTTGAGAAAATCGACTCTAGTTCTGTGCAAACAGAGAGAAGAAGAGGAAAAAAAACTTGTTTCAGCTCTCACTCATTACGACGTTTTGAAAGAAGCAGAAGAGAGTTTGGAGATAAATCAAGGGAAGCGGATGAAACTTAACTCCATCACGGCCGAGTTAAATCCAATCACTGTCATAATTGTAATTTACTGAGTTTCACTTTCACTCCAGCCACCCATCCATCCATCCAGCTCGCCAATTTCAGCTCTAACCCGGCCAGACGTCTTGTTCAACTCTGCCATGAAAATAAATGCCTGGCACACAATTCCAACCATTTTGGACATTTTATCTAATTTCTTAGAAACTTCTCAATATTTCCGGCTTAAAAATAAATACAGACATTTCCGCTTTGGGAAAAATGGTTTGGAGATATATTTACTTTAAAATCAGCTTTATTTAAGACAAGTAAATTTGAATTCCGGGCAAATATTTGGTGCCATAAATGCTCTACACCTATTGATTGGAAAATATTTAAGCATGATGGAATTTCTGCCCGCCAAAAACACGTGCTCACTTGATTAACATTGCGAGCGGGCTGAAATTCAAATCAAATCCATCACGTTTAAATATTTCCCAATCAATAGTTTCTACAATTCATAGCCGTAAATATAAATTGCACAAATTTTTGTGCATGAAATTCCCCCATTTTGAGCATTTATGCCGAAGTGAAATTAACTTCTTGCCAATTTCCTGACTTACAAATAAATCCAAGCATTTCCCTCAAAGCAAAAATGGTTTGGAGATCTCTTCATTATAAAATTACCTTAATTTAAAGGACATAAATTTAAATTCCGGATCAATATATACTTTATCCCATAAATTTCTTTGACATGGTACTATTTGTCCCCTAACTTCCCTTTTTTTCTATAAATTCACAATTAAAACGTGCCTAACTCACGCACGTGGCCCCACAATTTTTTTTACAACGCCATAAAAAATTCCGTTATGGGGCCATTAAATTGCTCAGCATTCATCCATGAAATGAAGTAAGGTAGCCACCACGTAGCCAATCTATCTTGCCTTATCGAGGAGGATAGCGGGTTTATCGGGCTGTGCTTATTTTCGGAGTGGATTTACTTATATCGGGGACAAGATGGATGGTGAATGGAGACAGCAATAAAGATGGATGAGCTCTCAGTTTCAGCGGAAGTCGTTTCCCTGATCTCTTCTCCTCGGCCCGATAACGACGACCACCACGCTACAAATGACGGACAAATAAACCTTAATTATTACCACGTGCATAATACACTCAAAATAAGGTAGTAATGAATCTTTACCATGCGGAATCACTATGTGTCTCTACCACGTTGGTTACGATTTGTCGTAGAAATGGTAACAATAAGTTTAGGGAAATTCAAATTTAATACATAATGGTATTAACTTCCTTAATATTTGGTAATGAATTTGAATTTCCCTGAACTTATTGTTACCATCCCTACGACAAATCGTAACCGACGTGGTAGAGACACATAGTGATTCCGCATGGTAATGATTCATTACTACCTTATTTTGAGTGTGCATATGTCGTTTTAAGTAAATACTGTAAGGTCATAAGAAGAACTTATGTAAGTTCAAGGTTGTCTCAACGGCTGAATTTTTGATCTTGGTAACTAAAAACTACGGTGGCCATAAAATTCCTTAATCTCCGCGGGAATGGATTTCCGTTAGACATAAAATTACCAGAAGCACGTGATATAAATTATCCTACATGAAAAAGCATAAACTGAAAATGCCGACATAGTTTATAAACTTGATTCATTATTTTTTCAATCATAACAAATTGGATTTGTTTGTCAATAATTTATTCATGTCAACAGAGATCAATTCACCACAAATTAGTTTACACAAATATTTCAAATTTATAAAGTTGTCCCCATTCCTAAAACAACTTGGAATTTGAATTTGAGCATGCAGTATTTTTTTAAAACAAACTCTTGTTGAATTTTTACACCATTAATTTTTCCATTCCAAACTTACAGTGGGCCTCCTCAGACACACGAAAAAATCGTCGCTTCGAATTTCGCTTTGTTTTTCGCTTATCGATAGCATGGCCAAAATTATGAAAATTGCAAAATTTTGTTGCGACTTCAGCTAACCGACCTTAACCCCACTTATAAGTTGAGTTTCTGTTCGCTTACCCCAGAGCTCGCCTATCAGGAAGTAAGCGAAAAACGAAGCGAAATTTTAAGCGACGATATTTTCGTGTGTCTGAGGAGGCCCAGTTATTATGTTACTAAATAGATCCTATATCGTAATTTGAGAAATCAAAGGAGATAATTATTTAATATAAATTCAAAACTACATTCCATTCGTTATCCGATGAAATGAATCATTTTTCATTAAACAATACCCCCGAGCTGTGTAAACTTTCCACCCTGTGAAACTCAAGTTTTGAATTTTACTCGTAATAATTTCGCTCTTTGTGCCTTGTTGACACCCATAACTCACAGAAATATATAAAGCTCCCTGATTTATTGGGCAACACCCACCAAAACGTGTCCCTCCCTCAATTATTTTGAAGAATTACACGTTTCTCATCTGGTTTTGAATTTGTAGCAAAATGAGAATTTGTCAAAAGGGAAAAATCTCGCCATAAATATTTAAACACATAATTTCTCTTCTTCTTCTTTCTTTGTGCTAAATTGAGATTGGGTGCAGCAGAAGCAGCAGCGAGTACAACGCTCCCGAAATAGTGGGAACCTTGCCAGTCGTGGAGAAGAGAAAGCGAGTGAAAGCACAGAGAACTTTTGACTTTAGGCCAGCAGCCTGGCAGGCAGCCGAGGGGGGCTAAATACTTTGAAAAAATTGGCAGGTTTTTGAGCTCAATTCTTTGCCAGGGTTTGGATTTCCAAGGGTGTTAGCCTCACAAAAAGATCAGAATTTACCTGGGGAAGACAACAGCCAGGCGAAAATACATGGTTTCTGAAGAAATTAACTTTTTATCGCTGTCAATTACATACGCCGTTTATGTAATTTTTTAGATAAAATTATATTAAAACGACATAAAAAGGTAAGTTCTGAAAAAACTGTATTTTCGTTTGACTGTTCACCAGGCGGATTTTCGTGTTTTTCGCCCGAGTCAGGGCTTATATACCCGGCAGATTTGTATGTCTGTCGGTCAATCTTGTAAAACTCAACTTATTTTATGACGGTTGCTTTCTCTCTGTTTATTCTCGTCGGGTGTTAGCTACCCCCGAAATGAAAAAAAACTCTTAGCTCAAAATCCTATTTGGAATCTTCAATTATTTTGCCCGCCTCTGTCCCTGGCATCATCTCAGCTTCGATTTTGCAGCAGACAAAACGAGTCGCAGAGGAACACAAAAGGCATCCCAGCATCCCGCTGCCATTGGGATCCTCATGCATATTTCAGAGCTGGAAACCCATTGCATTTCTCTCCACGGAAATAGCGCGTCTGATTTAGGGGAGTTCACAGGTCAAAGGAAATGGAAATTTAGTGCTTTCCTTCGCCCAAAATGGCACCCAAAGTACGTTCGGAGGACCAGAGACAGATATTCCACACCGGAATCCTTCACCCTGCACTTACTCGCATTCTGAGCAGGAAATGATGGGAATAATGCACTCACTTTCACCAAAACTTAATGCAATCTCAATAATTTTCTAAAGTATGGGGAAAGGAAAGCAAGAATGCAAAAATTATTGAAAATTCCTTATATCCCACAAAGTTTGACGGTATTTAGTACCAAAATGTCGCCATTACACGAAAGTCGCAAATTGTGTTAAACCGGTTAAACTACGCATCCTACCCACGTCACCAAGATGGTCAAGATAGCACATTTTTAGCCATTTCTCAGCTCTGGGAATTTGTTTTAAAATTCTGGACTACAATTTTGTAGAGCAGGGAGTTACAAATTTAAAAAATACACACTCCAGATTTTGACACTTTTTGAAGAAGGAAATCTCAAGTTTAAGAACCCTTCAGAAAAATTGCAACTCGTCGAAACTAGCTCAAAAAACTTACCACAATTCTATTAATCAACTCGCTCAAAAAAAAATTTGTTGTCCAGAATTTTAAAATTAATTCCCACAGCGGACGCACTCCCTGAACGCTGGATTACATAAGATTTAAAACACGAAATATGAACGAAATCACCATTAGTTTATAAAAAATACATTAATTGACAAATTCGTAGCTGAAAATCGACATTTGTCAACCTTATAAAAATTTAAGATCCTCTCTTTTTCAGTTTCCAGATCGGTCTCCCCTGCCCCCGCTTTCTCCTCCTCATGAGATGAGTGACCTTTCACGGCCTCATCCCCCATGGTCGGCGCCGCGTGGGAGGACCCTCATCAGCCCAACGTCGTCCCGTCTGCAGGCAAGAGTGTTCTTCGCGTGGCCCGTGTTGACGGGGAAAAGTGTGTCCTCCGGCACGGCTCCGAGGAGCAGTTGAACGGGAGGAAGAAGAAAAAGAAGCGGAGAAAATCTGGGCGAAAGGAAACATCTCACAAAAAAGAAGAAACGAGACGACGGCGTTCCTTCGCATCTCGGGGTTCCATGTTGTGCTGTGGCAGACGAAAGGTGAGCACAATCTTTTTTTCTTACCGGTGATTATTGATTATTGATTATTGATTTCTTTTTTGATGTATTTGGTGATTTCCCGAGTAAAAATCAGTGTCTCGAATTTTGCAGTAATCTAAAAAAGATCGACGCATATTGTGTTCGGCATAATCTTGTTTTCCAAAAATTTCTATGGGTTTTATTCTGCAGAACTTTATGTACATAATTCTGCAGAAATTGCACTGCCACAAATTTCGTCAAATTTAGAGTAAACCTATTCAAATCATTATGTCGAATTCTGTAATAATTGACAAAAGCTCGATGCATATGTATTGTATCCTGCTTACTTTGCGTTACATAATCTTGTCGAAAATGTCTGCGTTTTATTTTCGGAACTATGTTGCATAATTCCGCAAGTTTTTTGGACACATCACTCCACATAAAGTTTTTCTGCATAAAGCTAAATTTTGCAAAAAAATCTGGCCAAATTTCTTCACTAAAACTGTTCAAGTTTTTACTCTGAAATTCCACTTCTGATAGAAACAATTTGTTTCCAACCAAAATCCCGACCTGTTTAAGATATGAATTTAAAAATTTAATAAAAATATCCAATCCACCACGTGCCATTATTTCCCTCCCTCGTTTTCCCAATTTTTTCCATCCCGGGTAAACGACTCATTTCCTATTTTGCATGAGAATATAGGCAAATTTCCTGGCAGAGCACGCCATTAAAGTCTCTCACGACCATGTCCCACGCTCACTTTTACTCTGTTCCAGTCAGACACATGATTTTATTTGCCCATCCAGCCCAACATTTCTAAATACTGAGTGGCGTGGATGGAGAGAGAGGCAGACAGTCAGACCAGGCAGGTGGTAGAGGATGGCATAATAAACATTAACTCTTGTGCCTCGAGCGGCGGCGGAGCTGAAAGTACCGAAACGACGCGCGTGATAAGATAGATTGATACGCCTGCTACAAATTCTTCTCCTCCCGCAATGCAAATCAATTCTTTTACATTTATTTCCCAATTTCTACCCTCAAATGAAACCCATCACCCGCGGAAGTAGGCAAGGGGACATTGTTCCCATAGAAATTCAGAAAAATTTTATCTTTCACAAAAATAAGAGTATGTACAGGGTGGTTAAAATGTCACGCTACAATAGAAAATTTTTCGATGGGGAAAATTCGTAAATTTCCATTAGTTACCGAAATTTTATCGCTAAAATTCAACATTTTAAGAATTTCGTCATCAATGCTCCATCAGTTTTGATAATAATTATTAAAATCTCAATCCAAAATCTTGTAACTAATGGAGATTTAGGGGTTTTTCCCATCAAAAAATTTCCTATTGTAGCGTGACATTTTAACCACCCTGTATATCTTTGGTATTTTGTGGGAAACTCGATGATAAAAGTAGATTTTTTTAAATAATTTTCTCCACAAGTTTTGGAGTTTTCCCTATACCGATTAATGTTAAAAAGTGGATTTTCAAGTTTTTCGTAGAAAAACTCAAAACTTCGAAACTTATTGAAATAAATGTTCCTTATTGGAAATCATTAAAATTTTATTGAAATTATGAAATCGGCTTCGTTCCCAAGAAATTTTAGTAAAAATTAGTAGTACGAAAGACGTTAATATGTCCTCCCCTATCCCACAATGCCACTCTCCGCCTTCCGTGGGCACTGCCAACCAACCTCCTTTTGGGACGCATTCCTCCCCACGATTCCAAATATTCCGGCCTCATTTACATTTATTTTACGTGCATAAATTTATCCCCCCGAAATACCCGCCTATCTGGATATTGATAAGTGTTACGGGGCAGGTATTCCCTTCCAAATTGGAGTTGATGTGAGAGCCCTAACTCTCCCGGGAATTCCGCCAGAACTTAATATCATTTCAACTTTCTCCTACTTTTTACCTGAGTGAAAGTGAACTCTGAGCGAACCATTTTATAAAATATTTTGTATCCTGCGTAAAAAGAAAGTTTAACAGAAAGTTAGAAATGCTCCTTTTTTTCAAGGAAAGCGAACTTCTTTCTGCGGGTCGAGTGGGATGTCAGTTTATTTTTTCTACTCTTAAATGGGGTCACATTCTAGAAATAAAATGGTACAAACGAACGTAACAAAGGAGTGAAACCTTTGAGGTCAAAATGGAGGTTGTTATTGAATTAGGGGGTTTTAATTTCGTAGTAAATTGACATGAATATGTAATTCCCCCCCGTGACCTTTCTCACCTTGACCTGTGGCGATTAAATTCTAATCAGGTCTACCCCGTGACCGTAAGGAAGTTCCGTTCGAAATTTTAAGCATATTGTTGTACCCACGAATTATCGGACCAACAGAAAAACAAACGGACGGACGGACAGACAGACATAACAATCTCATAAAGCGGCCTTCCTAATCCATTCAATTCCACCCACCACGAACATGTAACAGTTCTTCAAGCCCAGCTGTTTTCCTCCACTTCTTTTCACTTTCTCCGCCATTCCACCCTCGCCTCGCCTCTTCGTCTTCCCACCAGCAGTTGTTGTTCTTAGTAATTACAGCCTCCTCCATGTCTCAGATGGTAGTTTTAGTTATTGCGATGATGGTCTGTCTCTTCCCTGATGGTGGTCTCTCCTCTGATCTCGTGTAATTAGCCATCCGCCTCCTCTTCTTCATCCCGGCTGAGAGAAAGTAAAGTGTCCCTCGCTCCCTCCCACCCACTGCTTAATTCACTTAATAATCCTCCCTCTTTAGAGAATTAATGGATGCACGGCTCAAAAACGGCTAACCAACCACACCACCACCAGGGCCGGCGGAATGGGGGCATTCGGGGGACATTGTCACTGCAAGATAGGAGAACGAGGGAATTTGCATACACTCAAAATAAGGTAGTAATAAATCATTACCATGCGGAATGACTATGTGGCTCTGCCACGTCGGTTACGATTTGTCGTAGAAATGGTAATAATAAGTTCAGGGAATTTCAAATTTAATACATAATGGTATTAACTTCCTTAATATTTGGTAATGAATTTGAATTTCCCTGAACTTATAATTACCATTTCAACGACAAATCGTAACCGACGTGGTAGAGCCACATAGTCATTCCGCATGGTAATGATTTATTACTACCTTATTTTGAGTGTAACATGGGGACGTCAAATAACCCGGGGGGATGTTACCCCTCTGTCCCCTCCCACTTCCGCGGCCACTGACCACCACCACCACGACCACTTCTGTTCCCGACAGATCACAAACTTTGCCTGCAATTAAGCCTTCTTCTTCTTCCGCCGGGGTGCTTTCACTCGCCAAACAAGGAGCACTCTGGATTTGTTTGCTCATTTTATTACTTTGCTTAGTTAGTTATGCTTGGTGTAATGCGGTAATGAGGTGAGGATGAGTCGAGGTTTGCATGCATGTCCTATAATATTGTTCTCCTGTCGTGTCCTGTCCGGAGTAGTGGTCTGGTGACACGGCTACTTTATTATATCTGCCTGCCACGTGTATGTACATAACGAAACTAGCCATACCGAGTGGAGTGCATTATCGCGTTAAGTAAGTAATCACTGACACGACAGGGGGCAAGATGTCTTCCAAAGATGGCTCAATTATCTGATACCACACTTTCATTGTACACACACTCCTGCAAATCATTACTGAATTTGTGGAATTAGTGCAGTAATTTATATAGCTTTAATACATATATGGGTTTTAAAAGAAAATTTCATGCGTAATTTTTAGAACGTATTTGATTCCAGTGTGGGATTTGTAAAATACGCGTCTTCCAAACGCTTTGGAGCATTCAAGTACAGTTTTAAGAAACTCGAATTAAATCATTACAGACTTGAGTACATATAAACTGACTCTACCCGCACTGGTAATAAGGGGCCTTACCGTTTAGTAATATTGTGGCAATGCAAAAGATATTTAACAATTTAGAAAATCGCATAGCAAGTAATTCTCACCAAGTTTGAGTTGCATTATCCTCTCACAAATTCCATCTGTCGAGGAACCAGAGGAACTCGGGATTCTTAAACTTTCTCCGATACGCAGCACGCAACTGCCCGGCTCCAAGAATATCTTTCCCTCTCTTCGTGGAATGCATTTCCAGACTAGAGTGCAATACCCTGCTCACTCTCTCCGGCTGAAAAATTCCACACATTCACTGGAATTTTCATCAAAGAAAAATTTTATGTCAGGCTTCAACCCGTTTTCAAAATTTTAAGAATTTTATGTCAACTTTTACGCTGTTTTTAACCGTTTCAAAATGTTATGCCGACTTTAACACAGTTCCAAAAATTTAATGCCAAGTTTGACGCCGTTTTTAAACAGTTGACAAATTTTCAACTTTACCTCCATTTTTTTAAACTTTAAAAATTGAATGCAAACTTTCACGCCGTTTTAGAAACTTCCAAAATTTAAAAACATTCAGTTTAAAACAAGATTAAATAACCGTAGATGAAAAAAAGATATATAAAATCCAAACTTTCTCTTTTTTCTTACAAAATTACTCCTTAATAGAATTGTACCCAAAAAATTTAGACATTTATGGCACGCCCTATTTTTCAAAAATTCTTATTTTTCCTCCATTAAAAATTATCTATAGATAATTTTATAGATAAATGGTTTTGTGCACAAAACCATTTATCCATTTTCCTCCCTAAAAAAACATCCCACATGTATTTCTCTTCTTTTTACAACTCTGTGTTACCAGCTCAATTTTATTTTCATCGTGCTCTTCTCCACTTCTTCTAGTCCCGTTTTTTTCCTCCCCAGCCCCACCACAGACATGGCAGGCAGGCTTGCTACGTATTGGGTGAAAGTGAACTCTGGATTTGAGGTGGGTAAGGTTGCCTTCTTGGGTGCGAGTGGAATGTCAGTGGTAAGGGTGAGGTCGTCGGCTGCTCGTATAGATTATTTCACATCCTTTCCACTACTACCACTACTACACCGCACTTTTATAGCTACTGCACGGCCCAGCACAGAATGAGAGGAGGAGGAGGAAGAGGAGGAAGTAAGTCCAGTTTCGGTACGGA